ACTAAACCCCCCAAATGACCTCTTTTTGGAAAGTAGACACCCCAAGGAATTTAAAAAATGGTATGGTGAGTATTTTGCAGATGTCATTTTTTCTCACAAGGTTTCGAAATATAGAAAAAGAAAAGAAAAAATATGTTTTTGTTTTCTTTCTTCATTCTCCAGATACTTGTGGCAACAAGCGAGATCTGCAAAATACTCACCATGCTTCTTATCCTGGCATTATGCTATCCTGGCATTTTAGAATATCAAATTCCTTGGGGTATCTACTTTCCAAAAAAGGGGAATTTGGGGGGGGGGGGGGGTTTGGATCTATTTTGGCATTTCAGGGCCTCCAAAACTGTGATAAGTAGTCAGGAAGTGTAATGAGGAAATAAAGCCCTTTAAAAGCCTGAAGGTGCTCATTGGATTTTGGGGTCCTGTACCTGGCTAGACTGCCAAAAAGTCTCTCACATGTGGAGTAGTAGCAGAATGTATTTTAGGGAGTAATTCCAGTTCCAGTAAGTGACAATTTTGTGTAAGAAAAAAATCATTTTTTTGTCATTTTCCAAAAACGTGTGGTAAAAAATAAATTCTTCTATTGACTTTGGTGTGTCTACTTTCCAAAAAGGGGTCATTTTGGGGGGGGGCCATTTTATGCCCAGCATTAGAAGTTTATGCCACACATCACATCACATATCCACCTGAAGATCAAGCCTTTTCTGACACTTTTTGTTCACATGAAAAAATCAGTATTTTTTGCTAGGAAATTATTTCAACCCCCAAACATTATACATTTTTTAAATTAGACACCATAGTGAATAAAATGGGGGGTTCTGCAATTTTCTATGTCACATAGTACTCTCGCAGCGATTTTTCAAATGCAAATATTTAAAAAAAATACACTTTTTTTTTTACTTTTAATGTACAAAAACACAATATATTGGCCAATTATTTAGTAAAATGTTAAAGATAATGGCATGGCATGCCGAGTAAATAGATACCAAACATGACATGCTTTAAAACTGTGCATGCCCCGTACAATGGTGACAAACTGCATACATTTTTAATATCCATAGGCAATGCTTTAAAAGCCTTTACAAGCTACCAGTTTAGATTTACAGAGGAGGTCTAGTGCTAGAATTACTGCCCTTGCTCTGACGTTCACGGCGATACCTTACATGCATGGTGCAACCGCTGTTTCCATACCGGCACAGGGTCAACACTCATGCAGGCAGGTGCGCGCACATGGGGGCGAGGGTGCTTTTTTTTATTTAGATTTTTTTATTATTTTTACACTGTCCCTTTCATTTTTTTTCACTTTTAATGTATATAGACATCTGCAAATTTTTGGTTATGATGATTATGAGGGGCTGAATTTTGTGGAGCTGGTCAAATTATTATTATTATTATACAGGATTTATATAGCGCCTTCAGTTTGCGCAGCACTTTACAATATAAGGGAGACTGTACAATTACAATACATTTCAGTACAGAAGGAATGTGAGGGCCCTGCTCGTGGAGCTTACAATCTAAAGGAAGGGGGAGATGATACAAAAGGTGATAGCTGCGGGGGATGATCTGGTGGAGGTGATTCAAGTACAGTTCTTAGGTGGAGGTGGGGTAGGCTTCCCTGAAGAAATGCGTTTTCAAAGATCGCCTAAAGGCAGACAGGGTGGGGGCTGACCGGACATGCTGTGGTAGGGAGTTCCAGAGTATGGGAGAGGCTCTGGAGAAGTCCTGGATGCGAGCGTGGGAGGAGGTGATGAGGGAGCTAGAGAGGAAGATATCATGGGAGGAGCGGAGTGGGCCATTTGGCCGATATCTGTGGATGAGGTCGGTGCTGTAGCTAGGGGCAGTGTTGTGGATGGCTTTGTAGGCTGTGGTTAGTATTTTAAATTTTATACGTTGGGTTATTGGAAGCTAGTGAAGGGATTGGCAGAGAGGGGCAGCAGACACTGATCGGTTGGTAAGGTGTATGAGTCTAGCAGCAGCATTCATAATAGACTAAAGCGGGGATAGCCTGTGTAACGGCAGACCAGTAAGGAGGGAGTTGCAGTAATATAACCAAGGCGTGTATAAGTTGTTTTGTGGTGTCATTGGTTAGGAAGGGGCGGATTTTGGAAATGTTCGGGAGGTTGAGGCGGCAGGATTTAGCCAGTGAGTGGATGTGGGGCCCAAAGGAGAGGTCAGAGTCTAGGATTACGGCTAGCACCCTGGCATGAGGGGAAGGACCAATGGTTGTGCTGTTGATCTTAATGGTAAAGTCGTGAGTGGGGGATCGGGAAGGAGGAAATATTACAAGCTCAGTTTTTGAAAGATTGAGTTTGAGGTAGTGATGTGACATCCATGCTGATATGTCGCTTAGTAGATTTGTGATATGTGAGGAGATTGAGGGGGTGAGCTGGGGAGTGGAGAGATAGATTTTGGTGTCATCAGCATAGAGGTGGTAGTGGGAGCCATGGGAGGTTATCAGTTGACCCAGGGAGGAGGTATAGAGAGAAAAAAGGAGGGGCCCAAGAACAGAACCTTGGGGTACCCCAACAGAAAGGGGAAGAGGAGCGGAGGAGGAGAAAGTGAAATAGCGGAGGAGGAGCACTGACAATGCGCTGAGAAAGGTAAGAGGAGAACCAGGAGAGAGCAGAGTCACGGTGGCCGATGGAGTGGAATTTACTGAGGAGGAGCGGGTGGTCAACTGTGTCAAAGGCAGCGGAAAGGTCAAGAAGTATGAGTGACATGGCCGTTGGTTTTAGCAGTTAGTAGGTCATTAGTGAGTTTTAGTAGGGCAGTTTCTGTGGAATATTGTGGGCGGAAGCCAGACTCTCGGGAATCAAGAAGGTTGTTGTCGCTGAGGTAGCAGTTCATACGATTATGAACAAGGTGCTCGAGAAGCTTGGAGGCAAACGGGAACAGGGAGATGGGTCTTAAGTTATTCAAACAGGTGGGGTCCAGCAAGGGTTTTTTGAGAATGGGGATAACCAGTGCATGTTTGAGTGAGGAGAGAAAGGTGCCCATGGAGAGTGAGAGGTTGAAGTTGTGGGTTAGAGAGTTTAGGATAGAGCAGGAAGGCGGCTGCAGCAATCGTGAGGGGAAAGGATCCAGGGGATAGGTGGTGAAGTGGGCCTTGGAAAGGAGATCGGTAACTTCCTTGGAGGTAACAGGGTCGAAGGGAGGAGTGTTGAGTTTGGTGTTGGGCCTGGTATGTTGGGTAGAGGAGGAAGCTTGACACTGGAGATCTCATCATGAATTGTGTTGATCTTCTTCTTGAAGTGACTGGCAATCTCCTGTGCAGTAAGTAAGTTGGTGGGTGGAGGCAGTGGGGGGTGGAGTAAGGAATTAAGGGCAGAGAAGAGTTGACGAGGATTGGATGAGAGGGTCTTGATGACAGTATTATAGTAGGTTTGCTTTGCAGCGTGGAGGCTGGAGTTGTATTTAAGAAGAGCGGATTTGTAGAGGGTAAAGTCTTTCAGGGTTACCTCGAAGACGACAGAGCGTATTGTCGTTGAAATGCATAAAACACATTATACTCTTATATCTATGCCTAACCATGGCACCAGAGAACACTGGCATATGATGAATCATGTCTGTGGACCAATACAACCGCAATTAATTTTTTTAGTAATGCCCATGTTGAGCAATAGGCACAAAAAAAAGTTTAATTCGGAAACCGTAATGGGTTTCCATGTGAATGATCTGGCAAGGTTTGAATTTGGGTTGGCGGCGATAAATTGTTGTGAATATAAATTGATCCACAATCAATGCATACTGATCTTCTGTGAAAAACAACTCCAAAAAAATCAAGGAGAGTAGTTAAATTTGCTGTTTCCACCTGAATTCCGGGTTGGGCTGTGAATGGGGTAAGTATGGGTACTGCAGAATTTGTTGGCTGCCAATCGGGATTTGCAAGCACATTAGGAAGGACACTAGGGGCTCTACAGGCCTGTGTACGAATTCTTGGTGGTTGCAGGACAATACTTGTGCTCGCCACCACACCTGACTTTCCACGTCACCAAGTGATACTGCAGTGCTGGTATGTGAAAGACCAGAATTTACTTGGCCACTGGTGCTTGACAGTTCACCAAAATGTAGAGTGGCACTAGTACTGGCACTCTGCTGCATATGAGAGTCATCAAAATTTACAGGCAAGTGCTAACAGAGATCAGGCCTGATCCTGCGAACACTGCGGTTTTGTGTGCAATGTATCAAGTGACAGTGACCTACTGACGCTGTACTTCCTGGGGGAGAAGGGGGGGGTAAGCGTAGGGGCTAAACGCAGGTGCTGGCAGGTACCGGGGCTGATCCCGATAAAACTGTGTTTTTGGGGACGCAGTACTAATGTGAACGCTGCTATAGTACTAATCTGATCAAAGATATTGATCCGTTCAGACACTATACTAGCAATGGAGGTTTATTGTGTATGAGCGTGTTCCTGGGGGTTAAATGTGATGACTGGTGTACTGACGGGCAATGTGACGCTATCTGGGAGGGGAGTGAAAACCACAGGAGCGCGAATGACATATATATACATGATTTTGCGCACCCATGCCGCCCTGTAGCGGTATTTCTGCTATAGGGCGGTCAGGAAACAGTTATAGAAGCGGTTTGCGTTACAGCGCTGCATTACTTTAACTGACAATTGCGCGGTCATGCAATGCTGCACCCAAATTAAATTTACGTCCTTTTTTCCCGCGAATTGAGCTTTCTTTTGGTGGTATTTGATCACCTGTGCGTTTTTTATTTTTTGCGCTATAAAAAAAAAAAGTCTGACAATTTTGAGAAAAAAAAAAACAGTATTTTGGAATTTTTGCTATTAAACATGTTCAGTAAAAAAATGTAAAAATCTAATTTTGGAATAAATTTAGGCCAAAATGTATTCTGCTCCATGTCTTTGCTAAAAAAAATCATTTAGTTTATGTGAACGTTATAGTATTTACAAATGGCGATATAGATACTAGAATTTTTTTTTTTATACTAATGGTGGCAATCAGCGCGACTTATGGTGGTGATCAGCGACTTTTAGCGGGACTGCAGCGGGCATTCTGACACTGGGGGGAACTGACAAGTTGTCACTGACATCCCCATCCTCTAAAAAAAAGCACTGACACTGTACTAATGGCACTGGGCAGGAATGGGTTAACATGAGGGTCAATCAAAGGGTTAACTGTGTGATGGGAGTGTTTTACTAGGGGGTGCAGTGTTCTTCACTGTAAGCATACTGATCTGGATGGCTCTGCATACCCATCAAGAGCAGTGTGCCCAAACTGACAAGGAGGAGGACTGTTGGTAAGCAAAGCAGTCCTCCTCCCTGTCGGTGATCGTCGGTAATCACCAGGCGCCAGCGGGTAATCACCATGTGGGACCCGGTGATTGACACCCATGGCCACAAATGGGTAGGGCGCGCGCCCCCTACCTGGAAATGCAAAATCACGTACATATATGTATATATATATATACACAAGTGATTTTGCGCGCCCCGTGCCACCGTGTAGCAGTATATCTGCTATGCTGTGGGGGTAAATGGTTAAGAGAGGTGACCAAGAACCCGATGATCCTGTGTGGAGATGGGACAAAGTTCCGAAAGGAAAACTATTGATGCAGCTCAGCACCAATTTGGGCTTCATGGCAGAGTGGCTAGATGGAAGCTTCTCCTCAGTACAGAACACATGAAAGCCCGCTTGGAGTTTGCAAAAAAGCTTTAATGAGCATGGATGTAAAAATGATAGTTCACATCACAACGTAGTGTGGGAAACCTGCGTTTTGTGCACCAAAATGCACCGCAGTTGCGATCTGCAGCGGGTGTCAATATCAACAACACCGCAAACACAGGTGGTAAACGCAGTGTATTTGTCTGCACCGGATTTCAGGGTACAGAAGTACCATGTGATCTGGTTGCAGCGCACTACTTTTAGTGCAGTGCGATTTGAGAACGGGACTGAGATTGAGCTCTGCAGTCACTTTTCCAGCAGTTGTGTTCTTAATCCGGGTCACCATCCTGCACAATGTCCTTTTGTCTCTTTTCAGTCTGTTCACCATGTCGCGCTTATTTTTATCAGACGTTTTCCTGGAAACTGTATATGTCGTCATTACCTTCCATATTGCACCTTGTGACACAGCAAATAAATTGGCAACTTCAGTCACAGAGGCACCGGCTAAGTGGGCACCAACAATTTGCCTTCTTTGAAGCTCAGTGAGCTCTGACAATGACTAGCAGAGCATGCAGCGAATGACCAGAGTAAGGCTTCCCACCTATTAGCTAGGTGTCTCATCACACAGCGGAAGCAAAAGAATTGTAGCATAAGGGCTCATGTACATTGCAGCTGATAAACTCATGTTTAGGAGCTGTTCAGCATTTTTTTTCAGCAGCTCCTGAACTCACGCTAATGTTTTCCTATATGTCCATGTACACATCTTCGTTTACAGTCGTTTACAAGCAGTTGAGTTTACAGTCGTTTTTTTTTTTGAACGCAACAAACTTGCGTTCAGACGTCAATTTTATTAGCATTTCAAATGCAAAATGCATCTAAACGCGGCATATCGCATTTGAAAAAATTTTTTTAACTCTTCCAGTTCCCAATGCTGTACAGAGCCTTTTTTCATCATGAAAACTGCATGCAAAGAGCTTTCGAGGTGCTCAGATGGACAAAACACTGAACACAGGATGTTCCTACCAAGCTTGTCACACATTGTAATGACCAATTCACACCTCAGACCTCTCCCACCCTTGGAAACAAAAGAAATGTTAATGCGCATTCACACTTTAAATTCCTCATGAAGATCCCCTGCCAGGTGGCCTTCATGACTCACTCCAGCAGACACCTTCCCACCCTTGGAAACAAAAGAAATGTTAAGGAGCAACTCACACCTAAACTAATCTCAATACATACAGTGGTCTCTGCTTCTACTCTCTGTATTTCTCTGAAACAGTCTGAAATAGTTAATTTACCACTTTACAGTGCATTCTGGGCATTTGGGAGGCTCTCCTGTGCTTATCTTTAACCACTTGCCCTCCTGAGGATTTACCCCCCTTAATGACCAGGCCTTTTTTTGCTACTCAGTGCTGCACTAATTCAACTGATAATTGCGCGGTCATGCAATGCTGCACCCAAACAAAATTTATGTCCTTTTTTTCACACAAATAGAGCTTTCTTTCAGTGGTATTTGATCACCTGTGCGCTTTTTATTTTTCACACTATAAACAAAAAAAGACCAAAAATTTTGAAGAAAAACGATATTTTTTACTTTCAGCTATAAAAAATATATAGTAAACTCAAAGTTAGTTATAAATTTAGGCCAAAATGTATTCTGCTACATGTTTTTGGTAAAAAAAATCCCAATAAGTGTATATTGATTGCTTTGTGTGAAAGTTATAGCGTCTAAAACTATGGTATAGATACTGCAATTTACGCCATTTTTTTGCTATACAGCACTGCTCTAGTTTAACGGACAATTGCGCGGTCATGCAATACGGTACATAAATTAAATTTATGTCCTTTTTTCACACAAATAGAGCTTTCTTTCGGTGATCGCCTGTGCGGTTTTTATTTTTTGCGCTATATAAAAAAAAAGGCTGACAATTTTGAGAAAAAAAAACAATATTTTGGACTTTTTGCTATAAAACATGTCCAGTAAAAAAAAATGTAAAAATCAAATTTCATCATAAATTTCGGCCTAAAATGCATTCTGTGACATGTCTTTGCTAAAAAAAAACCCAATATGTGTAAATTAATTGGTTTACGTGAAAGTTATAGCGTTTACAAATGGCGGTAAAGATACTGAGATTTTTAATTTTTTTGTATACTAATAATGGCGGCGATCAGCGACTTGTGGCGGCGATCAGTGACTTATGGCGGCGATCAGTGACTTATGGCGGGACTGCGGCGGACATTCTGACACTGGGGGGGAACTGACTTGGGGTCACTGACATCCCCAGTGACACCAACACAGTGATCGGTGCAAAAAAAAACCACTGACACTGTACTAATGGCACTGGGGAGGAAGGGGTTAACTTTTTTATTTACTGAAAGGGTTAACTGTGTGAGGGGAGTGTTTTACTAGGGGGCAGGGGTGTGTACAGCAGGGGGGAGGGGGGCACGCTGATTGGGAGAGATAAACTCTTCTGTCCGGCTCAGCGTGTCAGGAGCTGACAGAGAACTGACAGAAAGTAGAGCTACTGCAGCCCTGCTCTCTGTCAGTAATTGCCGCTAATCCGCGGGACACAGCCGGTAACGACTGATCGTGACCCGACGACTAACATCCGTGGCCGTGATCGGCGTGAAAAGGTAGGGCGGTGGCGCGCCCCCTACCTGTTTTGCAAACGCATGTTTTAAAACGTGGTTTTGCCCAGCCGTGCCGCTCTGCAAACGCATTTCTACAGTGGCTGGGTGGCATGTGGTTAAAAAACGCTTCTGAATGCAAACGCGCATAAACGCACATAACTGAGCATAAACACATTATGCAAACGCAGCTAAACAGAAGTTTTTTAACCTACGTTTTCCAGCAGTTTCCATAGTTCAGCAACATCCCATGTACATGGGGCCTAAAACGTGGTCACTTTCACACCTGTAAGTCATGCAGTGTTTCTCTGTTTTTGTCTAACCCCTGTATGTGGTGGCAACTGGTTAGTCACTGAAAATACAGTGTATGTTGTCTTTGCTCTGTAGTCATAGGGACTGGAGTTGAGCAGCAATACACAAGAACAACATGGGCAGTTGGTCAGATTAAAAATATATTTTACAGCTTGAGTCACAAAGAGGGAAAGAAGGCCATATACAAACCAAAAATATGGCCGCGCAAATACCAAACGGCGACACAGCCTAAACGTCGGCATCTATGACAGAGACTCTGCCTCAATGGTAGAAGCACAGTGATGTCATCAATGTTAACCTCCAATAGGAAACGGCGTGCCGGTGATCACATGTAGCGCTCTCTTCCTGGATTTCTTCTTTTCGACCTTCGGTGGCATCATGGAAGAGTACACACGGGAGCCATGGTAAGAGAGGCCCGGGTTTGCTATGCCGGTATTCCGCTTTCTGGGGTGTGTGAGTGCAGAGGGCGGGCCTGTTCTGCAGGTCACATGTTCACCTACCGAGGTCACCTGTCACAGGTCTGTGCCCTTCACTTCTACCAGGACAGGGACGTCAACAAATTACGGGGGGATGAATGAAACATTGCTGAGCCTTCCACCTGTTACAGGGGAAGTATACATAAAAAACAAGTATTGGCCAGCAGGGAGGGTGTTTTGGTAGAAGATGATTTAAAAGAAAGAAAAACCCTCTTTTAGCTGTTAGCAAAATGTTTTTAACCTGTACACCGAGGGCTTCACACTATCAAGGTACTTCAATAAAGCCGGGCCATCTCTTTTCTGGCCACATGACCCACTTTAGGAAGCGTTGCACCACTTTTGGTACCGTCACGTGCTCCAGGTCCACATCAAGGTCAGATTTAGCCTATCTGATCTGGGAGTGCAGTTAAAAACTTCAGGGGGCATAATGTCAATAGTGTGACAGTATTCCCTGTTCACACGACACGCTTCTGTGCCACAGAGTCACAACCCACACTTAACATCTGACAGTACAGAGGTGGTAAGGGAGTGAATGAGAGCTAGTATGTATTCGGATGATAAATCAGAACCTGTGCCTCTTTATGTCAGGGTTCCTATCAGAGTCCCCCTTACATTAGGTGTTCTCGTCGGAGTGCCCCTTAACTAAAATGTGTATATCAAAGTACCCCCTTACATTAATTGCCCCCCCCCCCACATCTCCTTACATGAATTGCAAGAGTGACCCCTTGCGTCAGCTGTGCCCATCAGAGTGCCCCCTTGCGTCAGCTGTGCCCAACAGAGTGTCCCCCTAAAAGAGTGTCGCGCTTCAGCCTATATACCATTCAGTCCTACTGTTTGAACTTAATTTTCCCAAATTTTACATATAAATAACATAATACTGGAATTACATCTAATAATTATATATATTTGTGTGCAAAAAAAAGTTCAATCAACAGTCTACAAAAACCACTCGAGAACTTCTTCCCATAAGAAATATTATTCCAACACCTCTTGTGCCCAAAAAAATTATATCCAAATGCGGTGATGCATCCCCTCCACCAGATATGCTCTCACCTGCTGTACATGACCAAACCACTAGGTGAGGTAATATTCAGTGAAGGAAATAAGTATTTGATCCCCTGCTGATTTTAAATGTTCGCTCACTCACAAAGAAATGATCAATCTAAAAATTGAATGGTAGGTGTATTGTAACACTGAGAGACAGAATAGCAACAAAAAATTCAAAAGAAATGTATGTCTAACAAATTATGCACTGATTTGCATGTTCATGAGGGAAATAATTATTTGGGATCGCAAAGTCCCTCTGGTCAAGAAAGCACATGTTTATGTCCATCTGAAGTTTGCCACGGAACATCTGAATGATGCAGAGGAGGACTGGTTGAAACGGTTGTGGTCAGATGAGGCCAAAATCGAGCTCTTTGGCATCAACTCGCCGTGTTTGGAGGAGGAGGAATGCTGCCTATGACCCCAAGAACACCATCCCAACTGTCAAACATGGTGATAGAAACATTCTGCTTTGGGGGTGTTTTTTTGCTAAGGAGACAGTACAGCTGTACCGCATCAAAGGGATGATGGACGGGGCAATGTACTGTCAAATCTTGGGTGAGAACCTTCTTCCCTCAGCCAGGGCATTGAAAATGGGTCGTGGATGGGTGTTCCAGCATGACGATGACCCAAAACACATGGCCAAGGCAACAAAGGAGTGGCTCAAGAAGAAGCACATTAAGGTCCTGGAGTGGCCTAGCCAGTCTCCAGACCTTTTATCCGATTGAAAATCTGTGGATGGAGCTGAAAGTTCGAGTTGCCAAACGTCAGCCACCAAATCTTATTGATTTGGAGAGGATCTGCCAAGAGGAGTGGGCCAAAATCCCTCCTGAGATGTGTGCAAACCTCGTGGCCAACTACAGGAAACGTCTGACCTCTGTGATTGCCAACAAGGCATTTGCCACCAAGTACTAAGTCATGTTTTGTGAAGGGATCAAATACTTATTTCCCTCATGAACATGCAAATCAGTGCATAATTTGTTAGACATGCATTTCTTTTTCATTTTTTGTTGATATTCTGTCTCTCAGTGTTACAACACATCTACCAATTGATTTTTAGACTGGTCATTTATTTGTGAGTGGGCAAACATTCAAGACCAGCAGGGGATCAAATACTTATTTCCTTCACTGTATCGCTTGTGTCCCTCTATTAGGGCTGATGCCCGGTTTGGATGAGTCTGCACTCCTAAATAGTTCCACGTTTTCTCCTTATGGATCCTCCTTAGGAATTCCTGCATAGGGGAAAAAAATTACCAAAACATTGTGCTTATCCATTTAAAACGTTTATTAGCTTAAAATAATTTCCAGTTTTCCACTCACATTTATAAGGTGTCTGAGTGCACCATGCTATATGTCTCGTTCTATAAAAAGAGATATACAAACTTTAAAAACAATCTGCAGCTTGTTGTCGTATTACCGCATCCAAACACCCCCAACCGTTTTGACGTCAAAGCCCCTCCCCTATCCCTATCAGCGTGTCCCCTTACATCAATTGTCCCCATCAGGTCTCATGGATCATTTGGATGCATATTGAGATCTGGGGTGCACAACTAAAATCTGGGGGTGCATGTCCCTCTAGAACCGTGTCTGGTTCACGTAGTTCTTACAAGTGTCCCTTTTAGAATCCGCACTATGGCTGCAACAGAATTCAAAGAATTACCACCGATTCCCAGACAGGCAAACTAGTGTAACTAGGATCAACTCAGAGTTGTACAGGGGAGGTTGTGTGTTTCTTATTTTATTATGTTTGAGTGTGATTTACGTGTACTTCGTTGCTAGGATGAAGGTCGCCAGTGTTCTAGCAACCAAGGACGCAGGTCACACTGAAGTGACAGTGGGGAAGAACCCACTGAGAAACACTTAGGGACTACACTCACCAGCCACCTTATTAGGTACAACTTGCTATTGCCAAGGAAATCTCCCCCCACACCATTACACCACCACCACCAGCCTGAACTGTGGATACAAGGCAGGATGGATTCATGATTTCATGTTTACGACAAATTCTGACCCTACCATCTGAATGTTGCCACAACCAGTCTGCCCATTCTCCTCTGACATCAACAAGGCATTTTTGTCCACACAACTGCCGCTCACTGGATATTTTCTCTTTTTTGGACCATTCTCTGTAAACCCTAGAGATGGTTGTGTGTGAAAATCTCAGTAGATTCTGTTTTTAAAATGCTCAGACCATCCTGACTGGCACCAACAACCATGCCTCGTTCAAAGTCACTTAAATCCACTATCTTCCCCATTCTGATACTTGGTTTGAACTTCAGAAAGTCGTCATCTTCAGCACGTCTACATGCCTAATGCCTGGTTCACACCATGCGTGTTGCAATCTTCTGCGGGAAAAAAAAGTCCCTGACTCTATCAAAAAACAGACTGTAGTGAGTTTCTGCAAAAAGCACTAAATAACTCATAGGTGTGAACCAGGTCTTAATGCATTGAGTTGCTGCCATGTGATTGGCTGATTAGCAGTTTGTGTTACCAAACAATTGAACAGGTGTACCTAATAAAGTTTTATTTATTACAGGTACTTATATAGCGCCGTCAATTTACGCAGTGCTTTACATATATACTGTACATTCACATCAGTCCCTAACCCTCAAGGGGGTGTACAATCTAAGGGTAAAAAAACTATTGCATAGTCATAACTTGCACCAGAGGCTTCCATGTATGATATGTATGGGAAGGAGATCGATTTAAGTGGCCCTTTCGATTTCAGAAACCTATCATCCAGTTCAGTGGCAGTCTTAACGAAAATATTAACTGCTACAGTTGAGCCTCTGTGCACCTCCAGTAAAGAAGCATATTTGCTGGTTTGAAATTTTAAATCCGAAAGCTGTGGTTCCCTATAATTTTGGTCCCCAGCAACAGGTTTGGTAAATGAAAACTAGATAAATAAGCTTCTTGCTTTGATTTGTATTCTACGCTATATGCATGTAAATGTTCATCCTAATGTTTTAATGCATACAGTATAAGTGGACCCTGCGCTGCCTCCGCTTACATGTATTTATTTATTTCAGGTACTTATATAGCGCCGTCAATTTGCGCAGCACTTTACATATATATTGTACATTGACATCAGTCCCTAACCCTCAAGGGGCGTACAATCTAAGGTCCCTAACTCACATTCATACATACACATACTACGGCCAATTTTAGACAGGATCCAATTCACCTACCAGCATGTCTTTGGAGTGTGGGAGGATACCGGAGTACCTGGAGAAAACCCACGCAGGCACATGGAGAACATGCAAACTCCAGGCAGGTGGTGCCATGGCTGCGTGGTGCGATTCAAACCAAGGACCCTAGTACTGTTAGGCAGAAGTGCTATCCATTTAGCTACTGTGCTACCCAACATGTCACCCCTGAATTCAATAGGTAGCAGGAAGCTGCAGAATACCTTTGAATGACTTTCAGATTGACTGAAGGCTGGGTCATTTTGCACCTGTACTGCCAATTCTGATTACATGCTACTGCTATTTAAGCCCTGGTTCACACCGGTGCGATTAGTCATGCAATTTGACAGTTCCAAATGACATGACAAGTTGCACCCCATGTCGCACCAACTTTGAAAAACGTCCTACTTTTTTCCGATTTGATTGCGACTTGCATAGACTTTTGTAAAATGAAGTTGCAAGACGCAATGAGATCGGAGGTGCAAATCACAATTGTGCCAAAGTGGCATGATTTCTATTCCACACTGGTGTGAACCGGGCTAAACTGCTTTCCTCAGTACTAAAGTATCCTCTTATTTACATCTGGCCTGCTGGTTTATGCTTCGATATTGTGTCATTGATTTTTTTTTTTTCTTTTCGTATTTTACAGTCCCTGGAGGATCGTAGATGACTGTGGTGGAGCCTTCACCATGGGTATCATTGGAGGAGGCATTTTCCAGGCTGTCAAAGGATTTAGAAATTCTCCCCAAGTAAGTGAGTCTTTTCCCAATTTAGCCCAAAATGTTCCTAGTTTTTTGGTTGGTGTACAGTTAATTGATTGTTGTCTCTCCATTTGCTTAAATTTTTCTTTATTTTGTACTTTAGGGCATTAATCATCGTATGAAGGGCAGCTTAAATTCTATAAGAACTCGTGCGCCACAACTGGGAGGTGAGACACTTTTTTTTTAGAGATAGCTAAAGGCCAATGTTAGTATTTGAAATGTATTTCAACTATTTGTACGTTTTATATAATGCAGCTATCAGTCACTTCAGCTAACATTGTTGGTTTTGATCAGTAGTAATAAAGTCAATGGAGAGAGAGTAGGAAGGCTTCATGAAAACATTGCAGTGTATCAAAAGAAGTACAATGGTCCAAAGGCAGTTACAAAGAGGCAGCAAGTAAATCAGAACTTCTGCATACATGCTATTGGTCACTGATTCAAAAAGTATTGAAACCATTTCTTCAGCATGCATAGCCTGAGATATACCCCTCCCTATTAGATTGTAAGCTTCCAGGAGCAGGGCCCTCCTAACCCTCTTGTATTCCTTTATATTGTAAAGCACTGCGCGAAATTGTTGGCACTATATAAATCCTGTATTATAATAATAATAATAATTAGGGATGCACTGAAATTCCGGGCGGCCAAAACATATCTGCCGAAAATAGCCCTATCGGCATTTTGCCAATAGGGAAAAAGTGAGCCGATTAAAGTTGCTGATAATTACAGCCCAAGAGACCAATTAGGGGCGGACTGACTATTTGGCTGAGGGTTTGGGGGGTTGTGTGTACTGCAGTTTGCGCAGTTGGAGGGGGTGGCGGAGAAAGGCAGTTGCTGGATTTTTTTTTTTCTTCACTTTATAGCTTTTAGAAGGAGCTGTCATTCGCCCTGCTGCTAAATTAAACAAAGGGGCAGGGTTACCCAGTGAGATTACCCAGTGACCCCGCCCCCTTTGTACTTTAGCAGCAGGATGAATGACAGCTCCTTCTCGGAGCTATAAAGTGAAGAAAAAAAAAAGGCAATTGCATTTAAAAACCAGCAATGACCATTTAGCGGTGGCATGTGAAGGAGCCTGTCTGTATACACTGCTCCCTCACTGTATACACTGCTCTTCTCCTACTCCCCTCCTCCTTGCACACACTGCCCCCTCCCCCTACAAAGAAGACCGGTCACTTGTATGCTATCACATTGGGGACTATTGGTCCCCTATGTGATAGCAATAAAATCATAAGTTAAAAAAAAAAATAAAAACACATTAACCACTTGCCCTCTAGAGGATTCACCCCCCTTAATGTCCAGGCCTCTTTTTGCTACTCGGCGCTGCACTAATTCAACTGATAATTGCATGGTCATGCAATGCTGTACCCAAACAAAATTTACGTCCTTTTTTTCACACAAATAGAGCTTTCTTTTGGTGGTATTTGATCACCTGTGTGCTTTTTATTTTGCATGCTATAAACAAAAAAAGACCAAAAATTTTGAAGAAAAACAATATTTTTTACTTTCAGCTATAAAAAATATATAGTAAACTGAAAGCTAGTTATAAATTTAGGCCAAAATGTATTCTGCTACATGTTTTTGGTAAAAAAAATCCCAATAAGTGTATATTGATTGCTTTGTGTGAAAGTTATAGCGTCTACAAACTATGGTATAGATACTGCAATTTACGCCATTTTTTTGCTATACAGCGCTGCACTAGTTTAAAGGGACAATTGCGCGGTCATGCAATACGGTACATAAATGAAATTTATGCCCTTTTTTTCACACAAATGGAGCTTTCTTTTGGTGTTATTTGATCACCTGTGCACTTTATTTTTGGCGCTATAAACAAAAACATTTTTGAAGAAAATTTTTTTGAAAAAAACAATTTTTTCTCATTTCGGTCATATAAAATATCCAAAAAAAACTAAAATTTCGTCATAAAGTTAGGCCAAAATGTATTCTGCTACATGTTTTTGGTTAAAAAAAATCCCAGTAAGTGTGTATTTATTGCTTTGTGTGAAAGTTATAGCGTCTACAAAAACTATGGTATAGATAATGGAATTTACACAGCTTTTACTTTGACTGCTCATCACATTTCTTGAGGTGCTTAAATACCAGGATAGTACAAACACCCTCAAATGACCCCTTTTTGGAAAGTAGACACCCTAAGCTATCTGCTGAGAGGCATATTGAGTCCATGGAAGATTTATTTTTTTTCCACAAGTTTCTGGAAAATGACAAAAACATTTTTTTTCACACAAAGTTGTCATTTTTAAATGATTTATTTCTCACACAAGCCATGGGTATATGTGGAATTTACACCCCAAAATACTTTGTTACTTCTGCTGAGTATGGGGATACCACATGTGTGAGGCTTTTTGGAAGCCTAGCCACATACAGGAGCCTGAAATCCAATGACCACTTTGAAAGCCTGAAGGTGCGTAACTTCCTCATTTCACTTCCTCAATACCTATCACAGTTTAGGCCCAAGCATGCCAGGATAGCACCAACCCCCCCCCCCCCCAAATTACCCCTTTCTGGAAAGTAGACACCCCAAGGAAATTAAAAAGAGGCATGGTGAGTATTTTGCAGATCTAATTTTTTCTCACAAGGTTTTCAAATAGAAAAAATGTTTTTTTTTTCTTCTTCATTTTCCAAAAACTTGTGGCAACAGCTGAGATCTGCAAAATACTTACCATGCTTCTTATCAAATTCCTTGATGTGTATACTTTCCAAAAAGGGGTCATTTGGAGGGGTTAGGTGCTATCCTGGCATTTCAGGGCCTTCGAAACTGTGATAGGTAGTCAGGAAGTGTAATGAGGAAATAAAGCCCTTTAAAAGCCTGAAGGTGCTTATTGGATTTTGGGGTCCTGTACTTGGCTAGACTGCCAAAATGTCTCTCACATGTGGTACCCCCATACTCAGGAGAAGTAGCAGAATGTATTTTTCGGGAGTAATTTCACATATACTCATGGCATGTGTGAGCAATGAATCATTTAAGTGACAATTTTGTGTTTAAAAAAAAAAAAATTTTTTTGTAATTTTCCAAAAAACTTGTAAGAAAATAAATTCTTCTATTGATTCAACATGCCCCTCAGCAAACAGCTTGGGGTGTCTACTTTCCAAAAAGGGGTTGTTTTGGGGGGTGGGGGCGTTTTTATATTCCCAGCATTAGAAGTTTATGCCACACATCACTCACTCTTCTAACCACCTGAAGATCAAGCCTTTTCTGACACTTTTTGTTCACCTAAAAAAAAACAATTTTTTGCTAGAAAATTAATTTAAACCTTTATATATATATATATATATATATATATATATATATATATATATATATATTTTAAAGCAGACACCTTAGTGAATAAAATGGTGGGTACTACAACTTTTATGGCACATAGTACTTGCGCAGTGATTTTTCAAAAGCAAATTGTTTTTAAAAAAACACACTTTTTTTTTTTTACTTTTAATGCACAAAAACACAATATATTGGCCAATTATTTGGTAAAATATAAAAGATGATGGTATGCCGAGTAAATAGATACCAAACATGACATGCTTTAAAACCGTGCATGCCCCATGCAATGGCGACAAAACTGCATACAATTTTAATATCCATAGGCAATGCTTTAAAAGCTACCATTTTAGATTTAAAGAGGAGGGTCTAGTGTTAGAATTACTGCCCTTGATCTGACGTTCATAGTGATACCTCACATGTATGGCACAACTGTTGTTTAAGTACCGGCACAGGGTCAATGTTTGTGCACACAGGTGTGCGCGCATCGGAGGGGTGAGGTTTTTATTTTTTTTTTTTTTGTTTTCTTTTTGTTTTGTTATTTTTATTTTTTATTTTTTTTTATTATTTTTACACTGTACCTTTTCATTTTTTCTGATCACTTTTAATGCTATCACAGGGAATGCAAATATCCCCTATAACTTCAATGGGCATTGTCATATATTCTTTTTTCAGAAATCTGGGTTCTATCCGACTCTAGATATCTCCTCTGCCCTTACATTATCTAATCAAACCAAGATCAGTGTGATCAGATGCTTTACCAATTTACAAATGGCGCTGTTTATATCCTGCGAAACTGAAATGATGAAATGCTCGTAGCTTTCTTAGGCTATAGAGATGATTGGCACCATTCTGGTCTCCAATCAGCTCCATGATCAGCTGGCAGAAACACCGGCTGCATTCTCAGGTTCCCCCGATGGCACGAGACTGCCCGAGAAGGCCGTGGAAGGCAGCGGGGGAGGGGGGGCATTGTCTCTCACTGCTTTGTAAAAGCAATTCTGCACCTAATTAGCAACTAGGATTGCTTTTACATGAAAGCTGATTGCTAGTTGAAAAAAAATACCAGGATGATGCCTGCAGCTATAGGCATCATCCTAGTATAACCATTCAAAGTCCAGTGATGTACCAGTACATCGCTGATCCTTGTTGGGTGTATATGCTGTTCTTTTTTTTTTTTTGTATGCAGACTGTGGACTGAATGAAAAAAAAGAGAAGAAATCTCTGCCAAAAAAAAGTGTGTGGTATGCCCACCATTAAAATATACCGCCCTGCATCCACCCACTTCTACTGGTGAGCACAAATTAGGTCACACTTTGCCACAAGCGCCAGTTCCAAGATTGTACAAATGTCTAAATAGTGGCTGTCGCGAACGTGCGCACCAGAGGCAGGATGCAGCCTCCATTTTGTTAAGAATCTCCATTTTCTCCCCTCATTCTTTCCCCCCTCCCTCTCTGAGAGGCACAGTGACATATGGCAGTGTGTGTGTGCGTGTTAAAAGTGTCACAGTCAGAGCACAGCAGGGAACCCCAGAGCTATAAAACATTTCTGAGCGAAATGCCGGGTTGTCTACCAGAGCTGTACAATTTAGTACCTCGTAAACAGATAACGCAGCCTTCACAGGAGTTAAAGACATTGAACCAGATAACCTTTTTAAAAATCCATTTTTCCCCTATGTCTCATATCTTGGAATATGAGACACTTACATAAAACCCAGGCATATCGTCAGATTGGCCACGAGGGAGGCGAACAGTTTGATAGGTTACTCTTCGTGGTTTGAATACATAGAAAATCAGAAAAGTAGATCTCTTGAACCATTTAGTGTAGAATTTCATAATTCATATCTAATCAATCCTCAGACGTGTCTGCATAATAATCTACCCGCGGGTGGAATGTCAC